TTCGTCTCCCACTGCTGCAGCTGTCGCTGAGGGGGGTGGTTGTGTGGGAGACTCGGGTTTAGGGTTTAAGGGGGGTGCGTGGGAGTGCAGCTAGCGGTGTAGTAGTGGGTGTGCATCAGGGGGGTGGGACTGTGTGCGGGAGGTTGAGTGGAGGTTGTCAGTTTGTCGTTCGCAGCACCTGTAGTCCGGGGCGCTGTCCCGGTAGCCCAGTCGTAGCCAGCTGTGCCAGCCGCCCGTGGGTCCGTTGCCCGTCCGCCGCTATTTGAGCCGCGGGGCCTGTTACTCCTGTAGTCCGGGCGCTGTCCGGTAGCTGCTGTGCCAGTGTGCCTCCTGTTGCCCGTGTGCCTGCAGCTTCAGCCGTCGCCTCCTATCTCCTCTCCCCTCACTCTCTCTCCTCCTCCTCACTTGCCCGTTGTGACTACCACTAGCTCTGCTCATAATTGTGAACTCTAAACTATCTCTTCTTGAACTTGTGCTCAGAATGTGTGGTGACATTGTGATCCACCCTGAGCTTGTACTACTTTGCCTGCTCTGCTGATTACACCCCACTTTGGCTATGGGGGTGTGTCAGAATGTTATCTTATTGTTCTAGCCTGTAGTGGGGTGCTCTATAGCGGGTACAACCCTTCTAGGGTTTGCTATTTGTATCCTCATTCTTGCTAGTTCAATCCTCTTTCCTCTTTCTTTCTTCAAACTTTGTCACTCCTCTCCCTTCCCTACGCCCATCAGCAGCAAGGTGTCGCAGAAAGAATGAACAGGACTCTGCAGAACAGCATGCGCAAACTGCTACGTGGCATGCGGCTACCCAACCACCAGTGGCCTGCAGCAATGGACCACGCTGTCATGCTGCACAACTTGATGCCGTCGTCCTCACTTCCGAACAACGCATCACCGCATCTGCTGTGGACAGGGAAACAGGGCAGCACAAAAATGTTACGAGTTTTCGGGTGCATGGTACAGTACCGACCCCCAGAAGCACGAGCGGGAAGATTTTCACAACGCGCACAATGGGGACTACACCTCGGCATCGAAAATAATTACAACGCGTGGAAAATCTTCGACGTCCACTCCAAGGAAACAGTAGCAGCACGTGACGTGATCTTCTACGAACGACTCACGCTTCAGACGTACTTCGCCAACTTGCACGAAAATCAGGACCCCACAGGTGGCTTTCGTGGTGACCGAGCCTTCGCCTCAGCAGCGGACGAAGCAGACTGGGACGAGCAGAACGTCGACAACGCATCAGAAGAAGCCGGACCTCTACCGTTCTGCTCCGTCAACGTCCCCATGGACGAAGAAAATCCTCGCGAAAGCGCCAACGCCGAAGTCTTCTACCACTTCGCCGACAACGGTTACGTAACACCTGCGACAGTCAACACCAACGAAGTAGAGCGGATAGGGCCGAATTTCATACCCGACCCAGAAGCGGGAGATGAAGCAGCTTATCCCGAGGACACAACTCTCCCCCGCTACTCACAGACTGGACTGCAGATTCTCGGCCTCGTCACCGCAGTCCACGGCAATGCTCTTCCTAAAGAGCCTGCGACAGTTCAGCAGTCTCTGGGGGGGGAACACAGGGAGAAATGGCGTGAAGCCATCGACAGAGAGTTAAAGGCGCTGGAGGAACGCAACACCTGGAAAGTCGTTCCCGTAAGCGTGGCAAGGAACAAAACCATCCTCACCGGGAAATGGGTCTTCCGCATTAAAACAAAGGCAGACGGTACAATCGAGAAATTCAAAGCACGCTGGGTCGTGCGTGGATTCGACCAGGAGCACGGACGGGACTTCACCAAGACATTCGCCCCGGTCAGCCGACATACCTCACTCCGAATTCTTCTCGCGATCGCCGCTATGAAGAAGAAGAAACTGCGACAAATCGATGTCGCCAACGCGTTCCTCTACACACCCGTCGACGCCGAAATCTTCGTCGAGCTCCTACACGGTACCCACGGGGAACCTAACCAAGTTTGCCAGCTACTGAAATCGCTCTACGGTATCAAACAAGCCCCGCGGCTGTGGCAACAGCACCTACATACTCGCCTCACTCGCATCGGATTCCGCCAACTACCTCACGACCAAGGAATGTATCGACTCACCAAAAACGCCGACTATATCCTGCTGATCGTCTACGTCGACGACCTACTCTACATTGGCTCCACCGACGACGTCACCACCTGGTTCGAAGGGGAGCTGCAGAGGGATCTTACACTCACGGTCTCCTCTACCGTCACTCAGTACCTCGGACTCAACATCCGCGAAGAAGAGACCGCGATCTATCTCAGCGCCGAAAAGTATGCCGACACTATCGCCAAACGCTTCTCGCTCACACCTACCACTATCTCCACGCCATACCGCTACACGGCAAGGAACGACAAAGGAGGTCCCGCTCTACTCAAAACCGCCGGAGTACGCGACTACCAGAGGAAGCTGGGCTGCCTTCTCTTCGCAGCCGTCACCTGCCGCCCAGATCTGTCCTACTCCGCAAGTCAACTTGCTACCTATCTCAAAAGGCCCGAAACAGAACACCTGGCGGAACTCGACCGCGCTCTCCACTAATTCGTGAGCACCTCGACGATCGGCCTGACTTACTACAAGAGTAAAACTACACCGACGAAACTAATCGGCTACGTCGATGCCGATCACGCCGGCGATTCAGACAACAGACGCTCCCGCACTGGCTACATCTACCGCCTCGAACCTATCGGACCTATCTCCTGGCAATCGAGCAAGCAGGAACTAATCGCTCTCTCCTCAGCTGAAGCAAAATATATCGCACTCTGCTCAGCCACCAAGGAAGGACTCTATCTTCGCGAGCTGCTGGAAGAAGCGAAGTTAGCCGAGTTACCCAACTTCACTCTGTTCTGCGACAACCAATCTGCGATTCGCATCGCCAACAAGAGCGGATTCGCGAACAGAACGAAGCATATCGCCCTGCGATATTTCTTCGTGAAAGACGAGATCGAGAAAGGGAAACTCAAACTATCCTACTGTCCCACGTCTGAGATGGCAGCTGACTACTTGACCAAGAAGCTCGGAGAACAGAAGTTCGAGTACTGCATGCTGCTGACTGGACAAAGCCACGTCACCATCAGCGACACTCCAGAAGCGAAGGGGAGTGTTGGGAACAAATAGTCTTAAGCGCCTCTGTCGTGTCGAAACTCAAGACACAAGCGAAGCAGCTCAAATCGAAGCACCGCGAGTCAACCCTCGGAGGTTAACGTAACCGCTGGAGGTTACGAGAAAGTCAAAGGTCAGCGACCTTTGACCTGACGCAGCGCGACAGCAAGGACACACAACTGACTCGACATTGAGCAGTTGCCCGAGTCGCACTGTATCGAACCGCAACAGTAAAACAGTTACAATTATGTCTCTTCATATTCTCTGTACTCATATATATATTCCTGTATCTCTTTGCTTTAATTAACTTACTTTGCCCTCACATACTAGCGCAAGGTGGTTCAAGGACTTTATTCAAACGCTTCCGCTACTACATCATTTACTCATACTTTAATTCTACTAAAGATCCTAGGGCGTTCAGCCCAACAGAACCTATAGTGAAACCCTCATTTCTCTCGACTCTTTTCTCCTTTTCAACTTTCTCGAACTCAACTCACTCGATCTAACTAGCCATGGCTCCTAAGCCTTGCTAGAATTTTCACACGTTGCTGTTCTGCGGATGCAACGTTGGCACGCCGTCGACTTGCAGTGTTGGCAAGCCGCGACTTTGTACTGCTGGAGCGCCGTCGACCAAGTCGTGCTGGAATGCTGTCAACCATGCTGCGCTAGTAGTGGACCTGCTTTCATTCTAGCTCTGATGTAGTCTTGTCTTGCCAACTTGATTGTACCATTGTTGTGAACTTTTGGAAGTGAAACTCTTGCCGACTTTCCCCGTGAACCAGCAAGTAGTGCAAGCACAAGTAAACGACTGAGGAACGAACACAGAGATCCCTCCTATCCCGTGCCTAGCTTGTACTCTAGCTCCCGTTGATAGAGTTATCTCGGCAGGGGGGGTAGTGTAAGGAATTTTCTCGACATTCCTAACGGTGCTTCGCCAACTTCGCGTGCACTGTTTCACCAAACCATGCACCTCTGGCCCGGTCAAGTCGGCCGCTTCGGGACTAGCCTGAACCTCGATGCCAGCCTAGGACTAGCTACGGTAGCTCGCACGCACCGCGTTACCGTTTGCTTGTTTCGCGTATAAGTATTCGCTCATGCCTACCCTCATACTTTGTACCTCGTTTTCTTGTTCCATTGCACCATAACACATTTGCACATTTTCCGCAAGGAAAATGCATTTCCTCGCGATACCGTAGCGCCTCAGTAGAAGCATAATCGGGTAGTGTGTGTTATTAGAACAAAACCTAAATAGCGTGCAGCATAGTGACTAACACTGTTTCGTAGCGCCTCAGTAGAAGCATAATCGGGTAGTGTGTGTTATTAGAACAAAACCTAAATAGCGTGCAGCATAGTGACTAACACTGTTTGACCTGAGCGCGGTGACCAGTTCTAGAGGGGCCACTGCTAGTGGCGGTCGAGGGCGACGAGCAGCGCGTGACTAGCAGCGAGGGGCGGCGGGTGGCGGGCGGCGGGCGCGATGAGCGTGGTGCCGCGGGAGAGCGTGCAAGTGGCGGCGCACAGCATCGGCATCGCGAGTCTCGGCGATGACGTGGCTGCCGCGCTGGCGCCTGACGTGGAGTACCGCATGCGCGAGATTATCCAGGCACGGCCGCATGGGCAAGGGTGGGGCCGTGGGTGGGCGGGACCGCGTGGGTGGGGGAGGAAGTAGCACAACGGCGCGGGTGCGGGGCGAGGTCGCATGCGCGCGTACTCGCAGCCGTCGCATAGTCGCAGGCGACTCCCAGCATCGCTCAGCGTAGACCTCTCACAACCGCTGCTCCCGTTTCCTCGCTCCTCTGTCTCCCTAGGCTCACTCACTAAGCCATCCCCGCCCACCATACCACGCCCGCCCGCCGTGTGGTGCGCAGGAGGCGGTGAAGTGCATGCGGCACAGCCGGCGCACCACCCTCACCACGGCGGACATCGCGGCCGCCCTCAGCCTGCGGAACGTCGAGGTGAGCCCTGCTGCTGTCAGGTGTGCTGCTGTCAGGTGTGCTGCTGTCAGGTGTGCTGCTGCCTCGCACGCATGCTGCTGCTGGCCAGCACTCCTCCCCGCCCCACACATGGCACTCTCGCACGCGCTCCACTCCTCTGCATTCACCTCCCTCATCTCCCCCCCCCTTCCTCTTCCTACCCCTCCTCTGGGGCGTGGCAGCCGCTGTTTGGGCTGGCAGCGGCGGACAGCGTGCGGTTCCGGCGGGCAGTGGGGCACAGCGACGTCGTCTTCCTGCACGACCCCACGCTGCCGCTCTCCCAGGTCGCCCGTTCACTCTCCCAGGTCGCCCGTTCACTTTCACACACCGCTCACTTGCTCACCTGTCGCACATGGACTGTCACCATGTCGCACATGGACTGTCACCATGTCGCACATGGACTGTCACCATGCCGCTGCCATGCCTGCCGCGCCTTGTGGTTTCCACTTGCCATGCACCAACTGAGCTGAAGCTTCTCGGCAACGGCACTTGTCCTGCGCTGCGCTGTCCCTTCCTTCCACTGCCCGCACCATCGCTCTCCGCATGCCTGGCCGCGCCACGCGTCTCACCACGTGCGAGCCTGGGCGCCCCCCCTGTCCCCTGCCCCCGGTGCGCGGTGCCTGACATCACAGGTGGTGGAGGCGGGGCTGCCGTGCGCCCCGGTGGACGTGAGTGTGGCGCCGCACTGGCTGGCCGTGGACGGCACCATGCCCGCCACCCCTGAGAACGCCCCGCCCGCAGGTGGGGGGGGGGGGGGAGAGGGAAGGGGATGTACAGTGGTGGGATGCGGTGTGGCATGGGGCGATGGGGTTGGTGGTGCTGCTGGGTTGGGAGAGGGCTGAGTGGTTAAGGGACCAACGCAGGTGCAGTGGGGGAGCATGACGACGCAGGTGCGGTGGGGGAGCATGACGACGCAGGTGCGGTGGGGGACCATGACGACGCAGCACAGCGGCTGTAGTGTGGGAGGGGTGGGGTGAGTGGCTCACTGAGCGAGGCCAGGCAAGGCGAGGCCAGACAAGGCATGGCCAGGCAAGGCATGGCCAGGCAAGGCATGGCCAGGCAAGGCGAGGCCAGGCAAGGCATGGCCAGGCAAGGCGAGGCCAGGCAAGGCGAGGCCAGGCAAGGCATGGCCAGGCAAGGCGAGGCGAGGGTGCCATGTGGTCCGTGCAAGCATGCACATCCCCTTTGAAGGCCCGTGCGTCCCATCCCATGCCATGCACGGCTCCCTCGCCAGCACTGTGCCTCGCCAGCACTGTGCCTCAGCTGCCGTGTGCGCAGCACTGTGCCTCAGCTGCCTTGTGCGCAGCACTCCGCTGCCTGCCCGTAACTGCCACCCACCCACCCTCACATGCTTCGTCCCCCCTCCCTTAGTGGGAATATAAGCTTATTGCGTATATAAGCTTATCTTATATACGCACTTGTATATACGCTAAACGCTTTCGGGCCGAGTTTGGGAATACGCTTTTCCGGGCAGAAAAAAAACTTCCCGGGCAGGGTCAAAAAAACCCTGGGAAGGGGGGGGGGGGGGGGGGGGGGTATGGGGCAGGGGTTTGGGGTCTGAAATTTCAGAGTACATTTTTTTCCCACTAAGTCACATACACCAAGGCCTGCACATAACTTTCCCCTACTCTCTAACTCTCTTACCACTACCATCACTACAATGGTACACTACACCATCACGACCATCACTTATATCCTGGACTCTCTAGGTACTACTCCTTAGGCCTGGCCGCCCACTGCAATGCAAGCCACATATGCCCCCTCTACTTAGCGTACTCGTCTTCGAGGATGTCGTCGTCGCTTTCCTCCTCATCCTCTCCCTTCGCCTCGTCTTCCAGCCCATTGTATCCCGCCGGGATTGGAGGCTCCGCTCCTATCCCGGCCACCACATGTGGCAGGACATCGGCGCGCGTGTGCCAGCTGCGCACAACATTCCAGTTGTGCGTAACATAGACCAAGTCCCTGCACTTGGCGGATCCGAGCCTGTTCCGACGTGCGGTGTGGACGACATCCCAAGATGACCATCCACGCTCACAAGGTGAGGCGGACACGGGCTGAGACAGCACCCGTACCGCGAGCCCCGCCACACGTGGAGCATCGGTCCCATTCCACTGCCACCACTTCACCATGCTATACTTCCCCTCTTTCACCAGCTTCCTTTGTGCCACGGCTTCCGGCATCCCAAAAGAACCCTTCATGTCAAGAAACGCCCTCAGCCCGTCCCCCAGCTCAAGCAAGATGCTGCAAGCGTCATCCCCCCCATCCCCGCGGCTCGCAAGGAACTCGGCGTACTGGCTGATGAACACCTTGAAGACCTTCGTGCACTCGAGATCAGTGCCGAAGATATCTTCCTCCTGATTGGCGGGGTTGAGGATGCGGCCAGCGACATGCATGGCGCATGCGAGGCTGCCGTCCCAGCGGTCTCTGAGGATCTTGCGGATCTGGTCCTTATCCGCGTTGCTCAGCTGCTCCTCGTCCGCATCGAGTAAGTCCCCCACGTCCTCAGTCAACTGAAGCATAACATCGTATATCCTCCCCATCATCCCCACGGCATGCCCGTCCGTCTGCCTCATCGCCTTATAGGGCAGCTTCAGGAGGGCAGTGAAGAAGTCGGCCGTCTTCCACCAGGCGGCATCATGGATCAGCGCAGCAAACGCGTCGCATGATTTCTTCCGGTCCCCTACCGCCCACTCCTTCCACCCCTCGCTCGTCACCATGTTGGTGAGGCTGCCGCGCATCGCACACAGCCGGGAGATGGAGATGTAGTTCGTCCCGAACCTCGTTCCAGCCGGCTTCAGCGCTTCCAGAACCTTCCCCTCCACCAATTCCGGCGTGCGCAGGTACCCGCGGGTCCAATGGTGGTTGCGGACGAAGCTGCTAATCTCCCCTCCCTTGTCGACCACCGGCTTAGCCCACCCCATCTTCCCCACGTCTTCCAGGAGAAGATCCATCACATGGGTGGCGCACGGCACGTCTTGAATGTGCGGCCACTCCTGAATCAGTCGCTTCACCGCCACCGCGTAGTTCGATCCCCCATCCATGCAGAACGCCACAACGTTCTCTGGCCCCACTTCCTCCACCACGGGCCTGAGAATCCCCGCCACGTAACCACCCGTTTTCTTCTCCATGTTGCAGTCAACACAGTCGTAGAAGACGGCGCCCGAATCATTGACGAGAAGAATGTTGGCCTGCGGCCTGCCCCTGCGGTCCGTCATCATGTCGGACAACACCGTCACGCCCGTCCGCTTCCAGCTCGTTTTGACACCCACCAAACCCGCCTCGATGCCGTTGCGACACGCTACAAGGCCAGCACCGCCGACGTATTTCCGCTTGGGGGGGACGTAGTCTTTCCCGGCGCGGGAGACGTTGTTCAATGCGTTGACCATCAGAGGATGGTCAATGTGGCGCCCGGGGATGTGGAGGGCGGCCCAAGCAAGCGCAAGTGACTCGTCCGCTTCTCGCTTTCGTGCAGCCGTATCCCCCTCGAGGTAATCGGTGATTCGCGCGCGCTTCCCACCGTCAACCGTCACTGCGGCAACCGCGGCAGCAGCGGCCCGCCTCCTTTCGTCGGCCGCAGCAGTCTTTGCCTCGTAATGCGCTTTCATGGCCCGACGCACATCTTGCGGCGCATCCTTGCACAGCACCACTTCACGGCGTTTCATGCCCTTCCACGACGCGAAGTGTTGCGCGCATCGGATGGCAGCACCGGTGTAGAGGTTGCTGCAGAACTTGCACTCGTACTGCTGGGCTTTACCCTCGACCCGCTTGACGATGCGGAAATGCTTGAAGACGACATGGTCGACGTCGGGGAGATACTCCCGTGCCTCGGTTAGAAGAGTCTGCGAGCTGCCAACGGTGTTAACTGACGGTGTCGTGGGAGGAGAAGTGGTAGTAGTCGACATAGGCACCAGGCGCTAGGGAATGCCCAGTGCTCTGCTGGTAGCGGGAGAAGACCTAATGAGTTGGATGTTGGGGGTGTGCGTGTTTAATAGCGAGTAGATTGGGGGAGTTGGAAGATGGGCAACTGAAGTTGGAATCGCAATTGGTTGTGAAGGTTTTGAATGCGGTACTGACTGTGACCACCAAAATGTGAGGGAACGTGCAAGCGCGACTCGACGTACGTTACTTTCCATTCGCGGCTCAAACTTTCAACCCACGTCCACGCTAGCACACGGCGCGGACGTGACATTTGACCCCGCCAATGTGTTCGTCGTGCAATTCCGAAGCGAACCGTATAGGTTGAATTTTTTTGGCCGGGCTGCCCCTAAAAAAATTTGGCTAGCGTATAGCGTATTCGCTAGCGTTTTGCGTATTGCGTATAAACGCTAGCGTGTATACGCTAAACGCAAACAGTTCTGAGCGTATTTTCCCACTAAGCCCCCTCCCGCCCTGTGGCCCGCAGGCATGCCGGCAGCAGCAGTGAAGGCGGAGGCGGGGCGGGCAGCAGAGGGCAGCGCACAGCGAGCAGGGGGAGGGCCAGGTGGGGGGGCAGGCGGGGGGGAGGTGGTGGAGGTGAAGTTGCCGGTGAAGCACGTGCTCTCCAAGGAGCTGCAGGTAAGCATGTGCTCTCCAAGGAGCTGCAGGTAAGCATGTGCTCCCCAAGGAGCTGCAGGTAAGCACGTGCTCTCCAAGGAGCTGCAGGTAAGCACGTGCTCTCCAAGGAGCTGCAGGTAAGCACGTGCTCTCCAAGGAGCTGCAGGTAAGCACGTGCTCTCCAAGGAGCTGCAGGTAAGCACGTGCTCTCCAAGGAGCTGCAGGTGCCGCCCTCGCCCTCCTTCCCTCCTCCTGCCTCTCACATGCACCCCGCCTCCCGTTGCACATCGATTCTCGTAACCATCCCTGTTTCCTACGCCTCCCTGTTTTGCTCAACTCCCACATTTTTTCCATTGGTCAGTCAGTTCAGCCCTGCTAAGTAGAAAAAAACGCGTTTCGCGTTTTGTACGCTTTCGTATAAACGCTAGCGTCTAAACGCAAAACGCTGGCCGGGAGGGGTCTGGTACGCACAAGAATCCGCTTGCCTGGTCAGGAAAAAAAATTCCCCAGGCAGGAAAAAAAATTCGACCAAGAGATGGAAACCGGAGCTGCTGCTGCTGCTGTAGTAATCCATTACCTAACTGCTGCTGTAGTAATCCATTACCTAACTGCTGCTGTAGTAATCCATTACCTAACTGCTGCTGTAGTAATCCATTACCTAACTGCTGCTGTAGTAATCCATTACCTAACTGCTGCTGTAGTAATCCATTACCTAACTGCTGCTGTAGTAATCCATTACCTAACTGCTGCTGTAGTAATCCATTACCTAACTGCTGCTGTAGTAGGTCATCGTCGAAGTGAAGAGGAAGAAATCGAAGGCAAAGATTATTGAAGGGAAAAGCGGCCTGACATTGAGTGAGTCTGGTAGAAGTTGGCAACAAATTGGATGGGGTGAAGGTGGGTTGTGAGCGGTGGATAAGAGGGAATGATCCACCAACAATCTCGAAATTCAGATCTGAAGTTGCTTTAGCAACGCGCGAACTCAGATCGCGAACTCATCTGATTTTTTTTTTTCCGGTTAGCCCGAGCCGAATTTGGCGAATTTTAGAAAAATCCGCAGCGTACGAATTCTAGATGCGTATAAACTCAATACGCAACTTGAAACTAGCGTTTTTTCCAACTTAGCAGCCCTGCACACAGACACCCAGGAAGCCCCTCCTTTTGCATTCCCTTGGTCGCTTTGTCTCGTCCTGGTTCTTGTTGCTCACTCCTTTGCATTCTTACTCCAACCCTCTCTTTAACACCTCCCACTCTGCCTTCTCCCCGTCCCCGCACCACCCCCCCTCCCCACGCGCCCTGGCCCGGCCAGCTCTACTTCGAGCAGGTCACCGAGCTCGTGCTGCTCACTGCCCGCCCCCCTGCCCCCGCCGCCTCCGCTGCTGCCACTGCAGGGGGGCAGCAGCACCAGCAGCAGAGTGTGCTGTGGCACGCGCTGCGCAGTGTGGCGGTGGATGCGGGGCTGCACGCGCTGCTGCCCTACTTTGTGCACTTCATTGCTGACGAGGCCAGTCTCCCCCCCCTGCACAGCATTGCAATGCGCTGCACCGCCTCTTCCCCTCACCTTGAGTGCATGTGCTCCATCACACAACCAGCACACAACCAGCTCACAACCAGCACACAACCATCACACAACCAGCACACAACCAGCACACAACCAGCACACAACCAGCACACAACCAGCACACAACCAGCACACAACCAGCACACAACCAGCACACAACCACCACACAACCAGCACACAACCAGCACACAACCATCACACAACCAGCACACAACCAGCACACAACCAGCACACAACCAGCACACAACCAGCACACAACCATCACACAACCAGCACACAACCAGCACACAACCAGCACACAACCATCACACAACCAGTACACAACCAGCACACAACCACCACACAACCACCACACAACCAGCACACAACCAGCACACAACCAGCACACAACCAGCACACAACCAGCACACAACCAGCACACAACCAGCACACAACCATCGCACAACCAGCACACAACCAGCACACAACCAGCACACAACCAGCACACAACAAGCACACAACCATCGCACAACCAGCACACAACCAGCTCACAACCAGCACACAACCAGCACACAACCAGCACACAACCACCACACAACCACCACACAACCAGCACACAACCAGCACACAACCATCACAGAACCAGCACACAACCAGCACACAACCAGCACACAACCAGCACACAACCATCACACAACCAGCACACAACCAGCACACAACCAGCACACAACCAGCACACAACCAGCACACAACCAGCACACAACCAGCACACAACAAGCACACAACCATCGCACAACCAGCACACAACCAGCTCACAACCAGCACACAACCAGCACACAACCAGCACACAACCACCACACAACCAGCACACAACCAGCACACAACCAGCACACAACCAGCACACAACCAGCACACAACCAGCACACAACCAGCACACAACCAGCACACAACCATCACACAACCAGTACACAACCAGCACACAACCAGCACAAAACCAGCACACAACCAGCACACAACCAGCACACAACCAGCACACAACCATCACACAACCATCACACAACCATCACACAACCATCACACAACCAGCACACAACCATCACACAACCAGCACACAACCAGCACACAACCATCACACAACCAGCACACAACCAGCACACAACCAGCACACAACCAGCACACAACCAGCACACAACCAGCACACAACCAGCACACAACCAGCACACAACCAGCACACAACCATCGCACAACCATCACACAACCAGCACACAACCACCACACAACAAGCACACAACCAGCACACAACCATCACACAACCAGCACACAACCAGCACACAACCAGCACACAACCAGCACACAACCAGCACACAACCAGCACACAACCAGCACACAACCAGCACACAACCAGCACACAACCATCGCACAACCAGCACACAACCAGCACACAACCAGCACACAATCATCACACAACCATCACACAACCATCACACAACCAGCACACAACCATCACACAACCAGCACACAACCAGCACACAACCAGCACACAACCAGCACACAACCAGCACACAACCAGCACACAACCAGCACACAACCAGCACACAACCAGCACACAACCATCGCGCAACCAGCACACAACCAGCACACAACCAGCACACAATCATCACAGAACCAGCACACAACCAGCACACAACCAGCACACAACCAGCACACAACCAGCACACAACCATCACACAACCAGGACACAACCAGCACACAACCAGCACACAACCAGCACACAACCAGCACACAACCATGACACAACCAGCACACAACCAGCACACAACCATCAAACAACCAGCACACAACCAGCACACAATCAGCACACAACCATCACACAACCAGCACACAACCAGCACACAACCAGCAAACAACCAGCACACAACCAGCACACAACCAGCACACAACCATCACACAACCAGCACACAACCAGCACACAACCAGCACACAACCAGCACACAACCAGCACACAACCAGCACACAACCAGAACACAACCATCACACAACCAGCACACAACCAGCACACAACCAGCACACAACCAGCACACAACCAGCACACAACCAGCACACAACCAGCACACAACCAGCACACAACCAGCACACAACCAGCACACAACCATCGCACAACCAGCACACAACCAGCACACAACCAGCACACAATCATCACACAACCATCACACAACCATCACACAACCAGCACACAACCATCACACAACCAGCACACAACCAGCACACAACCACCACACAACCAGCACACAACCAGCACACAACCAGCACACAACCAGCACACAACCATCGCACAACCAGCACACAACCAGCACACAACCAGCACACAACCAGCACACAACAAGCACACAACCATCGCACAACCAGCACACAACCAGCACACAACCAGCACACAACCAGCACACAACCACCACACAACCACCACACAACCAGCACACAACCAGCACACAACCAGCACACAACCATCACACAACCAGCACACAACCAGCACACAACCAGCACACAACTAGCACACAACCATCACACAACCAGCACACAACCAGCACACAACCAGCACACAACCAGCACACAACCAGCACACAACCAGCACACAACCAGCACACAACCAGCACACAACCATCACACAACCAGTACACAACCAGCACACAACCAGCACAAAACCACCACACAACCAGCACACAACCAGCACACAACCAGCACACAACCATCACACAACCATCACACAACCATCACACAACTATCACACAACCAGCACACAACCATGACACAACCAGCACACAACCTGCACAC